TTGTTAGCTTGATTGGATCCATATTTAAAATATCAAAAGTGACTGGCAACTTGGAAGCTTCTACAAAGTTTAAGGGTCCTACTACAATTTATAGCAAAAACTGAAAAATCAAACTGTTTGGGGCATTTCTGTGTTCATGGTTAAGTCCTATAGTGATTCCCTGCCCTTGCGCCCAGTCCACAAAACTGAAGGCAACTGTCCTGAGGAGGGGTGTTTAGTTTTCAGAAAGTCACTAGATTCCTGTTTCGTGCTGCCCACCTGACATCACAAGGGAACGGATCGGATATGCACGGGAAAGGAAACCAGCAGGCATTCTACCATTCCTATCGCCCCGCCGGACAGTGTTTCAGCTCAGCTCTTTATTTATCACCGCAGGAGACAGCTGTGATGTCATGATTTAACAAGAAACAAATGAGAGCCTCTCTCCTTTTTCTGACAGTTTCATTCAGTCTGTTACAAATGCTTTCTCAGAGGGGGGAAAAGAGTCAGGGAAACTTCTCCAAAGCTTAGTATAGTATTTGGACCACATCTCTGGTTTTGGTTTTTGAAAAACTTAAATACATTTTATGTTAGCTATCACTGAATTGAAAAGGACTCGGAGATTGTGTGCTCCAAGGGCTTAATTTTTAGATGAAAACGCTGAAACTAAGAGAGGTAAAATGACTAAACAGAAGCCATGCTGGCTGGTAAGGGACAGAGTGATGGCACAGGGCTGGGCCTTCCACCCTCTATGTGGCTGGGTCTGGCCACCTCAGTATTTGACCCACCTGATTATGAAAAGGAACACAAATGGATAAGCTTCCAAAAGAGTGTACCTAGAGGTGCACAAATACTGTTTAGCAGGGTTTCCTGCCGAGGTACTGGTGAAACTCTGTGCCAAAGCATCGAATGGAAGGGACAAGCCTTGTCCTCTGCATTATAGAATGTTTACTGTCATCCCTGCCCTCTATCTACTACTAGATACCAGTACCACACAACTTAGGCACAACCCAGGGGTCTCCAAAGGCTGGTCAATGCCCTCTGGGGGACAAAGATACCCTCTGAGGACCAGTGCCACAAAACCATGCATTCTACTGAGCCACAGCCAAGAAGAAGAGGCCACTCAGCGCTCTGGGTCAGGGGCTGGAGGTGTGGGGTGCCTGAGGGATCTGCAGTGTTACGTACAGATGGGGGTTTCTTCTCAGGAAAACAAGGCAGTGGTCATGTAGAGCCAGACACTGTCAGAGGACAGTCACAAGAAAAGACAGTATAAAACGGTAATGGGGACATGGAATACAAATTAATGAAGGGAGAAAAAAAAAAAAAAACCTGGAAGAAAGATGAACAGGAAATGGAAGAAAGAAAGAGGTCGCCAGAGAGAAGGCATTTTAACATTCCTGAGTCTGGGGGACAGAGCGACCTATTATAAAATAAAGTGCTGTGCGTTCATCGGGCACGATTCTTTAAAAAAGGCAACTCAGTTTGAGCAAAGGGGTCAAGAACTTTCCACCAAGTCACTGTGAGGGTTTGGGAAAGGACCATTGTGCCCAGATGACAGACCCCCTCAGGGGAGTACTGTGTGCAGCTCTTTGTTAAGATCTCATGTGCTTAAAACTCTAAAGCCCTTTAAGACAGCGGAGCCTGGAGCTTCACCCACATTAGTGTCCCGAGTGTGCTGTGGATTTCAGTGGGGTTCTGAAGTAGCAAACCAGCCTTTTCACATCCAAGGTACAATCAATTTTCCTCACTGCTACTTCCCCTAAACCTGTTTAGTCCTGAAATGGCCTCTGGGGAGCAGAAAGGCTCTGGGCATGTTTCAGACTGTACTCTTCTTGGCTACTTGTGACTGTTTGTATGCAAAGAGTGCAGATTTGATTGGCGTCTGACACTGTGGGTGACAATGCGCCTCTCTCACCAAATCCTATCATACGTCAACACACTTATCTTGCCCGTCACTAGATTCTTGTGGTATCTCTTCCGATTATTCACACACACACACACACACACACACACACACACACACACACACACTTCAAAAATAATTCTCTTGTGGATCATATTTGAGTGACTTTTCATGGACAAGCAAAAACAACTTAAACACTCTAATTTCATGCTTTCTAAGCCCTAAAGTGCTCAGGACTCACTCAGAGATTTGAAGCTGCAGGTTATAGTTCATTAGGTCAGGCAAAACCAGTGGTTCTCAACTTTCCTGATGTTGTGACTCTTTACCACAATTGCTCATGTTGTGGTGGCCACCACCCGTAAAATTATTTTTGTTGCTACTTCGTAACTGTAATTTTGCCACTGTTATGAATCATAGAGTAAATATGTGATGTCCACGATATCTGATATGTGACCCTAAAGGGGTTGTGACCCACAGCTTGAGAACCACTGGGCTAGAAGAGCACCATGGATGCTGAGCTGTGTGTCCCCAGTGCCATGGGATAGGATGACTCCACGCCCAAGCCACCCTGAAGACATGCCTTATAATGTTTTCCACCTACACAAACCTTGACATCTGTGGCCCACAGTTCACAGGGAAAATACAAATCCATTTGTGAATGATTAAAGCCCTTCCTGGCATAACCTCAGATTAGCTTCAGCCCCACAGGCCCTCCTTACCCACACGCAACACCATGAAGCAGCCCCCACAACTCCCTGATGTGACTCAGGACTGCACATGCACTGGCTTTCCCTGAGCCGGCTCTGCTGGCCCCTCTGCCTGGACAGTTCCACTGTCCAAGGCTTGACCAGCCTTCAAATGTCAGCTCCTCCCATCTTCTGAAATAATAACGGAATGGTTTCTCCTACCATACCTTGCCCTGGACTTTTAAATATGTATATTACTATGTCTACTTTTCTGCAACAAAATTATCAGAAAGAAAAAGCAAAAAGACATGCAAGGTAGTATAGATCCTTCTTGGAGTTAAAAAGAATGTTTTTCCGACTTTCACACCTCTGGTCCCTAACGCCTGGGAACCATTAGTAAATCTTTTGGAGAGTTAAAAACTCCACAGAAAAGCCAAAATATGTCCCCACCCTCTGATTTCTTGGCCCCAAATGAATATTTAGCACTACAGATTATTTTTGGATCCCAGAGTATCCATCCCATCTGTTCCAAAACATAGCCCTACAGTGGCTTCTATCTCTACATCGTGGCTATTTCTTTAGCATCTTCTAGATCATTCTCATCAGTGTAAACAACTGCCCACTAAAACAGACCATACCTGGTCCACAAACCAAAATGTCTTCCTAATCCCCAGATCACATGCCTTGAGATTTCTGAATCCTCCCTGTCTACAATTGTGTCCTCCCACCACAACCTCTCTCTCTCATCACTGTAACCCACAGGACTGCAGGCAGGAAGTCACCTCCCAGAACCCTCTTCACTTGACATATGGCAGCACTGGACACAGTAGGCAATCCCTCTGGAACCCCTCTTCACACATCTTCTGGGGAAAAGTATCCCTTCTATCTTCTCCCCTGCTCTGGTCACTCCCACAGCTGTTCTAGTCTCCTCACCAAACCTGCTATTTTCACTAACTCAAACCAATAAAGGGAAACAAGGCCCACTCTTTTGACCTTATCTCCTTTCTCCCTTCCCCTTTAGTTCCCAGGAGAGCAGAGCCAGCACCTGGCTTTAAAACCACCCCAGGCTATCCAACAGAATACCACCACACAGACAGTTCATGGAGACCACACTCACTGATTACCTCAAAATGAACACCTAACATTCCTTTCGGAATCCCAACCTCAGAAAGCGGAGGTTCTGTGATAGCCCTTGGAGGCTTCCTAGCCACTTCTTAGTTTTCCTGATATACCATCTGTTTCAGCACCTGCTCAGCAGGGCACCCCCAGACTTTGCTTGAGTCCAGACTCCCATCACCAACCCTAGCCAGGATCCTTGTAAAGGTGCTATCCAGGCTGCCTGCGGGCATCCTTGCCTCCATCCCCACCGCTAACCTACTTTCCACATAAAACCACAGTGAGCCTGATAACTTAGGCTACAGTGCTGTTCTGTAAGCCTTCCAAGTGCCTCCCACCATCCTTAGAATCAAATTCAAGGTCCTGCCCCAAGTCCTTCACATCCTCACTTTATCTGCGCCATCAACTCATGAGTTTCATCCTGAACATCTGACACGCCACTCACTGTATCTTCCCACTGTTTCTCAGCTGCTATCCCTGCCTTAGAACCTCTTCCATAGTCTCTCTGCCTGAACATCACGGGGCTTGGCTCACACCTCACACCACTGGGCTCTGGCGTCGTCAGATCTGAGAGCCTCTTCTTGGTAGCCTGTACAAAATCACACTCCATCGGGACCTGGACACTTCTTTGCTGCATTCTTTGTTCCTGTGTTTATTCTTTGTCTCTCTCTGCTAAAATACAAACTTCATAATAGCCAAGCAAGTGACTGTAGTTCACTTGTTCTGTTTCCTTGTTTATTTTAAATCCCTTCAAACGGTACCTGGTAAACAGTAGATGCACAACGCATCATTCCTGCATAAATAATTGAGTACCGTTAGTGTAGGCATATAGGTAGTTTTAAAACGTTTTAGTTATATTTATTTTATCTGTATTTGTAGGAATGTTTTGTCTGTGTACCATGTGCATACCTGGTACCCCCAGAGGTCCGAGAGGGGATCGGATCCCCTGGAACTGGAGTAACAGATGATTGTGAGACACCATGGGGGTGCTGGAAATTGAGCCTCGGTTCTCTACAAATGTAACCAGTGCTCTTAACTGCCGAGCCCTCTCTCCAGGTCTAGCACAGGTATTATAGGGAAAATCATGGCAGCCTGGCAGGACCCATTCCAAAGGAGTAAAAAAAATTCCGTTAAACTACTTTCTTTTTGTTTGAGACAAACTGGCCTCAAATTCATGCTTCTCCTACCTCGGTTTCCAAGGGCTGGAACTGCAGGCACACACCGCCATGCCTTTGCACCAAGCTGGACACTTCAAACCAGACACTGTCCTGACTGAGAGCTAGTGACGCTGCTACTGAGAAAGAGAAAACACTCACTTCCGGATCACAGCTTTGGACTCCGATGAACTTTGACTTCCATCATCTTCACAGTTTGGGCCCGTCAGGTTTCCATACCTTTAAACATGAAAACAAAATTAGTCAAAAGGATGTTCTTTACAACTTCAAGCATAAAGTCACATGTCAGGTGGAATACATTCAGGAAATATAAATGTATATGAAGTAGCAGCAAAATGAAGCAGCATTAACAAAAAACATGATGGATAGACAAGTACCCTAAAAAACGAATCAGGATTGAACTATCACACTTGTTTAAAATGTTCTCATAATACTCCACAGTTCCCGGAATTTCTTCTATACGACAAGGTTTCATCTCAGCAAGGGGATCCGATATTACACACTACAAAGAAGGCAGATGCCTCACGAACTCTCATGCACAAGCCTATATTAACTCTCTGTTGTCTGTATACCAGGGAGACACAGCCTTGTGGGCACACTTCCGAAACTTGGGCCATAAATGGGCACAAAAGTGATGCATGCATGAAACACTTGGGAGTATGGTCTCCTTTTGAGTAGATCAGTATTGGAGGATCCTGAAAATAACCTTGGACCCTCAAAGGCTGGGATGGAGATGAAGGCTGAAGAATAGTATCTCATGCTGTAGATACCAGCTGCAATTGTGGCTACATCTACACCAAGCTAAATTGATCTAGACACAGTACCTGAGAAGAGGGAAACAGGGGTCTGATTTGGGGGAAAATAGTCAATGCTTAGAACTTAAAATTTTGCTTGTCATAGACTCAATGTATTTAAGGGCTGGAGAGGTGGCTCAGGGTTAGAGTGCCTTGCCTAGCATGCCAAAGGCCCTGGCTTCAATCCCCAGCGCTGCAAGCAGCGTAACAGAATATGTATCTAATAAATTGGCACTGAGTCCCTACGAAGGACTTCACTAACTCAGAAGGGCTGGACTATTTTTACAATCTCTCCTCCCAACAAGAAAAAATTCCGAGAGTCCCTGGAGTTTGGCAAGCTGTTTGCTGCCCCAAGGTTTTGACAGCAGAAATTCTCTATTTGGTGGGTTTACATTTTTAAAGAGCACATTTTGTCTTGTATAATAGGATTAAAAGCTCCAGTACCCTATGGCTCCTTGTTCCCAGGATTTACAAATTCTTTACAAAATAAGAGCCTACCATCTGCTTTGACTGACTGTCAATCCATCTGCTATACCCATCACCCCATCCTGACAAGTTCCAGGCTGTGCCTTTATGCACGAAACACACACACACACACACACACACACACACACACACACACACACACACCACCCCTGGTCCTCTCTCCAACTCATCAGCCTTACGGGGTCTTGGCCTAACGATGGTATTTTCTGTAATCTGGCCTCTTCACCGTGTGCTGCACCTGCTAGGTGACAGTTTCTGAGGCTGCCCTCTGCTCTTCCTGAGACAGGAGCTCAGTCAGAAGAAGACTTCCTCAACCCTACATGAGCCAGGCAGGGATGGGAAATGAAGCTCCTGGTAAATAAACAAAGTGGGATTGTTTTTGGCTCTTTCCTTTGGCCACCATCATAGTGAACTGTGTCCTCGTGTTGTCTCACAGGGGAGTTCGTGGTTGGCTGAAGTAGGAGAGACTGGGGAGGGTGCAGGAAAGAGGAGGCCATTTGCGAGGCCACCAGGCTTTCCTATCTCTCACTTCAGCCCTCAGTTACTAAATAGGGCTCTTGATCTTTGTTTTGTTATGTTAATTTGCCTGTTAGTGTCCTCTCTGGAAAAGTCTTTTATCTTCCAACTAGGAACCCTGAGAGATATAAATAGACAAGGCGCACACTTTCAAGGAAAAGATTCAGTTTTCACATCTTCCCATTTCGTGTCTCTAGTTTCTCCTGCTTTCGTGCTTCTTTTGGTTCTTTTTGGAGCTGAAGTGGAGGTTGGGTGGTACCAATACCTATCTAGTTCCTCCCCCCAGAATGTGATACCACAGTGTGCTGTCAGTTGGTGCCAAGAAAGACTGAGCATTCTTGCACATTAATTAGCTCCTTACCATCAGCAACGGCTAAGATCATATAACTATTCATTCTCTCCACTGCCAGAGTGTCTGTCCACAGTGTACAACTTGGGACCAAGGTGATGGTTTGGAAATAACTCTGAGGCCTCCAGGAGCTGTCAATAGCAGGCACGCATGGGTTGGAAGGTACAAGGTCCAGTTGTTGCTTAAGTCTTGCTCTATCCGACCCATGGGGAAAACCTCCAGCTCTGCATTTACCACATACCTGAGTCCAAACACTTCTCATCACTTCTCCTGCTTCCCTCCTGCCTCTAACGGCCACCATTTTGGGGTTAAAGCAACACAACAGCCACTTAACCAATCTGCTCTCTTGGGGTCTGCCTGTTCATCATGACACCCCTGTTCAAGGAAGTCAGCTCATGGCCCTTCTCCCTTGAGGCCAGTCTGAGAAAAGACCAGGTTTCACCTTTCTCACAAACCATGAAATCTTCTGCTCACTGTGCTCTATCCATAAATCCCACATTTACCCTCACTCACTCCTGACCATGACCTCCACCCGTGTCATCGATCTGTCAGTCACCCCCCCACACACACACACCCTACAGCCCTGCATCACAGCTGTCACTTGCTTCTGCTGCTTCCCAGGGCAGGTTCCCTGGGCACCATGGGCCTTTCCTGTATTATCCATGAGGCCTTCTCTGGACATCCTGTTTAAAATGTAACCCAGTTCTAACACCATCCCCTTCGCTATCCTATTCTGTACAATCTTCAGTATCTTCTAATACGATATAAAGTCAGTGTTGGCTCACTGGGGATCTACTTGACCGTAAACTTTGGGTGAGATGGTTTTGACTCTGCGCTCACTGCTCTTTGGAGCTTACAACAAGGCTTGCACCCAGCTATGGTGAGCAGTAAGTGTCCTAGTAAGGCCAGAGCAGATGTGCTAACAGTGTGCTCCAATAGTTGGTTCAGAGGCTTCACAAGCACCATCTGCCCTCTCTCAGTCTTCACCTGTCTACACTCCCATTTTAAAGGGCTCAGCACAGCGCTTCTCTACCTTCCTAACACTGCAACCCCTAAATACAGTCACATGTTGTGCTGACCCTCAACCATTAAAGTATTTTTGTTGCTACTGCAGAACTGTAATTTTGCTACTGTTATGAATCGTAATGTAAATATTTGGAGATAGAACTTTGTCAAAGGGGTTGTGACCCACAGGTTGAGAGCCACTGGTTTAGGAGCATAAAAAGTTTATTTTAAATTTGGCTGTGGTTATTCAAAACATCCAAAATTAACAAAAAAAGGTCTTGAGATTTTTAAAAGAGATCTTGGAGGTATCAGCAGTATGAAAGCCCAAAGGTGTCGATACTGTTATGAAGGAGACGAAGGGTGTGATAGCCTTCTAGACTTGAACACACTAGGCAGGGTGACTGCCTGCTCTTGCGCCTTTCTTATCATTATGGAGAATTAATGCTCTACGCGAGCGTTTTGTTAAATGTTTCTAGCTTTGGAGTGGAGAGTTCTTTAATGTTCATGTCAGAGTTGGTTTTCCCAGACTAGAAATGCCTCTTTGATGTTTCCCTGAACCTGCTCACAGCTTTCCATCAAAAATCAAAGTCAAGTTCATGTCTTTTACTCCAAGGGGGTGAGCAAAGTGTGCATGTGTATGCTTAATTAGTGGCACCAGAACAGCTACAGACAAACCTGTCAGCAACGTCAACTCCAATCTTCACAAAGCCTCCTCAAGACATAAGATCAAAGCTCAGCCCCCTTAGGCTTGCCAAGGAGCAAGCCCTTCTTTATAAAACTTAAATCAAAATCCACACTGCCAGATGACTTTTGACATAGGTTTCTCTGTTGTCAACAAGCAGAAAGATTTACAAATGCTTTGTATAGCACAGCTGCAAGCAATTCTTTACTGTAGCCTAAAAATTACATGAACAAGAGCAAGAAAACACACACATGTTTAAATAAGGAAGAGCCATTTCCAAGGGGTTTCTCTGAAATCCATCTGGGACAAAGTGTTTAAGGGATGACCAGGGCCTTGGTACTTCAAAGAAGTTCAAGTTGTCCATGGGTACTGTCTCTTGTAGTGGGAACTATCTCATCTCTGTGCCCCAACAGGAAAGTCTCAATAGAAGCAGGCCAGGATAGGGTCGTCCTGAAGAACTTGTGAGCCCACTTGATACTAGCAAATGAGCCACTGGTAATAACAGGTAACGTGTTATTTGACAGAAGCTTTGCCGACAGCTTTCTGTGGACTGTTTTGCTCAGTTACCATAATAATCCTACAGGATGGTATCATTCTTCCAATTTCACAGAGGGGGACAATATGACCCAGAAAGCTTACATAATAAACCCTGGACAACATCACTGGTAAGTGGAGCGGGGATTTGAACCTTGACAGGCAGGCCCTGAGCCCAGCGCTAAGTCATTGCCCTCCCACACGTGCTGTATGGCCCTGTCTACTTGTTCATTTGATGATGTCAGGACCCTTCCCATTCACTCGTGAACTCATTCTTGGACCCATTTAGTCACCACTGGATGAGGATTGTTTATTAAGGATTGTTCCCAGGTACTTACTATTCTAGACATTATGAATAATGCACCGAGGCTAGGGAACTGGATCAGGGGATACAAATACTTCCTAAATGGGCATGGTTACCTCAGTTGAAATCCCTATTAGCCACGTATAAAGCTGGGCATGCTGCATACAATGAAAACTCTGGTGGAGACTGATCGCTGGACCTATCTCCGGGTTCAGTGAGAGACACTCTCTCAAGGGAATAAGGTAGACAGAGAGGGACACCTAACATTCTTCTCTGGGCTCTGCATGCCATTATACATGCTTGCCAATACACGACACATACACACATACCCGAAACATATGACACACATGAGCAACATATGCACATGCATTCGCGTGCATATGCGCGCGCGCGCGCGCACGCGCGCGCACACACACACACACACACACACACACACACACACACCTGAAAAAAAAAAAAAAGGAGGAGGAAGAGGCAACAAGGCAAATCTGTTTTCATGGGGCTCAGACTGTACTGATGGGATACAGAAAACTCTGATGTGATTATCTG